AAGTGATATCCATGCCATATCACTTTCTACCGATTCGGAATTTATCTTCCTTCTCTACCTTCCCCTCCAAACCGCCCGCTGCCGCTTCTTTCTCCCTCCTTCCCTCTCCCTCCTTCCCTCTCCCTCCTCCCTTCCACCCTCCCTCCCTTCCTCCCCTCTCTCCTCACCCCCATTCTCCATCTCCCATCCTTCCCCTGCCGCCCGCTGCCTTTTCCTATCTCCCCCCCTTTCTCTCCCTTTGATTGTCCTTCCCCTCCAAACCGCCCGCTGCCTCCTCTTTCTTCCTCCTCCCTTCCTCCCTCCCTCCCTCCCTCCCTCCCTCCCTCCCTTCTCTCCTCACCCCCATTCTCTCCATCTCCCGTCCGTCCCCTCCAAGCCGCCCGCTGCCTTTTTTTATCTCCCTCCCTTTCTCTCCCTTTGATTGTCTTCTTTCTTTCTTTTCATTCGTTCTTTTCCTTGTCACTTTCTCCCCTCCCCTGCCTTCTATTCTCCTTCCTCTCGCGTGCGTCCTTGCTACCCTCTTCCCCCGAAACATTATAACCCTGATTATTAATAGCGTATACAAGCTATCTTTCCCGGTCAGTTACATCCAAAATGAGGGTATGTTGTGCCCTGGGGAAGACAGTAATGACGGTGGCACTCAACCATCACAGCAAGCCTTTTATCTTCCTCACCTCCTTTAGCACAAAGCTCTTGTCCCCCCATCCTGACCGTGCTTCACGTAGGAAAGGGCCCGCCCTCTTCCCCCCCCCCAATAGAACGTACGATGATCATAGCCGTATTTGGCTCACCTTCCAGTCCAGATGCAGCGGAAATGACCATACATTGTATTCAGGGGAACAAGGTACCACCTTGGTGGGGCACCAAACCAATCCGAAACACCTTGCCAATAGCAGTCTGGTTGGTTTACTACGAACGGACTACAACACCAAGCAGCTCGATAGCTCTGCAAGCTGGAAAAGAACCGGTTTGGCCCTGGGCTGCTGAACCCCGTTTTCCAGCAGAGAGGTGCTGCTCCGCACCAATAGATGGAGCCTCGTCCGGAGCGCTACCGTCTTCGCCCGAACATAACGCACCCTGAAAATGAACGTATACAAGGTATGTTTCCGGCCCGATACAGGCAAAATGGGGGTGCGTTGTGTTCGGGGGACGACGGTAGTGGTGCCTGCTCTTATCAGCATCCCTAGCACTGGCCGAAAAAGTCTTCAAAAAAAA